TTGCTTTGCTTTGCTTTGCTTTGCTTTGCTTTGCTTTGCTTTGCTTTTCAGGGCCCCAAAGGTGAAGCAGTTGGATCTATAACTCAACCCTTACCTAGCAGTTACTTGATCATCCGAGCTACTTCAGAGTCAGATGGTAAATACAGATTTTGATGGATTTGATTTTGGCCCTCATTTTTCTTAAGGGTTTATTTTATATGCCACTGTGTATTTTCCTTTGGGGAAAATTTCTTTAGTATGGTACTGGAGCAGACATATTGTAATTATAAATTGCTTATAATACTAAAAACATTAACTTTGTAGACAAAAATCTGATAGGAAGGAAGCACTGTATAATTGAGTGATGAATTAGCGAAAGTTTTCTTCTTCATCCTCCATTGATATGTTAACACTCTTTTTACTTTCATTAGTGTTCTTTGTGGTAACTCACTAGGTTTTGTACTTTTAGAGGTACATTTAATATTATTTGTATTTTGTTATTAAAAATTAACATTTATACACGTATATACTGTTTTGAGTTTTTTTATATAGAAGATTCAAATACAAATTTTTCTGCAGTTAGTAACTTAATATTTAATTCTTGAAGCAATATGGAGAGGGTAAAACTTATTTAATGGGAAAGCCACACTAACTTTAAAACCTTAATAATTGATAATGGATTTCTTCCTCACTTTTATGTTTTATAGTTTAGACTAACTTAACCTAGGGGATCTTGTAACCTTTTAGAGTTTACTTTTACCTGATGACTATTTTTAAAATGTCATAGGCACAAGCTTATGTTATGAAAAGCGTTTTACTTGGCTGATGTTTCCAACAGATATGGAAATATATATATACATTTTAAGAGCAACTAACTTTTATTTTGCTAATACAGTTCTAAATTTTAATTTAAAAATAAAGTTACTAGTGTTTCTACTAATGTGGCAGTTAATGACAATATTGTACAGGCATTTATTTCCATGACTTCAGATTTTCGTACCTATAAGTAAAGTGGATGGTACTAAACCTGAGGTTAGACCTTTTATCAGAAACAAAATATTAATTTGATAAGTTTGTTTATAGTAGAAGCATAACCCCTTTAGTGTATTTTCTGTACCTTCGTTGGTAGCTACGAATTATACTACCTGTTAATGTTCTAAGATTTTAGAAGTAAAGTGTGTTTATTTTAGATTAGGTGTACTTTCTAATGTGTTCTATATACTGTTCATTTACCCGTGGTTTTTAGATGCTTGGTCTGTGAAAAGCACTTGCTAAACTGAAAAACTGCATTAAAAAATCCTTGCAAGATTTTATATTCACGTGAACTTTTCCAGTGAATGTTTCTCAAAGAAATAATAGTATGCTTAAAGGTTAACAGTATTAAATTAAGATGGATCCTTGTTTTTATAGTTTCTTGAACTATATTGCTTATGAATCTGTGTTCTTCTAGGAAGGTGCTGGATGGATGCTTTGGAGTTGGCCTTGAAATGTTCTAGTCTTCTTAAACGTACAATGATCAGAGAAGGAAAGGAACATGACCTGAGCATTTCATCAGAGAGCACACATGTGACTTTGTATGGCTTATTACGTGCTAACAATCTCCACAGTGGTGACAACTTTCAGTAAGTAGCTATTGCCACTAATTTGGTGATTTTTAGAAGGGACGATGTTATTCACTAGGTTAGTGGCAGGCCTAGAATTTTTGTGGTGTATCTAGAATTGAACGTGGCTGTTTTCTTCCCATTATATGGTCTGAGGCCTGATTTACCACTTGCTTATTTGCTGTAATAAGGTATAGAAAGTTATTTCCTTTATTTCAGCTAATGTGAAGTAGTTGTTCTTTCCCAAATACATACCTTTTCTTTATACATGGTGTTCCCTCCATTAAGAATGTCTTCTAGGGGCGCCTGGGTGGCTCAGTCGGTTAAGCGTCCGACTTCAGCCAGGTCACGATCTCGTGGTCCGTGAGTTCGAGCCCCGCGTCGGGCTCTGGGCTGACGGCTCAGGGCCTGGAGCCTGCTTCCGATTCTGTGTCTCCCTCTCTCTCTGCCCCTCCCCTGTTCATGCTCTGTCTCTCTCCGTCTCAAAAATAAATAAACGTTAAAAAAATATATATATTAAAAAAAAAAAAAGAATGTTTTCTAGTCCTCTTTGCTCTTTTTTCCTTTCATAATCCCATTCTTCAAGACCAATCTCAAATATTACATCAAATGCAAAGCGTTTCTTGCTTCACAATAGTGAGATATAATCTGTTCTTCTATTACTGTTTTGTAGCACTTTTTAATTTTTTTGGTAATGGCACTTGACTTGCTCTGCTTGGTATTTGTGGAATGCTCCTATTATACCACAGGTGTTTCAAGTTGGAACTGTATCCTATTTGTGGTTTTATACCCTGAAACATTCATTGTAGTTAATACTAAAAAAAAAAAATATTTCCCTGGGGAAACAAACAAGTACCTTAGTTGAGGTTCAAATCTCTTTTGTTGCTTTGGAGGGAAACTTAGACTTCTCCTCCCTTGCCCCAGTATTCAGCCTCTGCTCTGAAGCTACTTATTCCCAACAACACTGAGGTTACTTTCCTCAAAGTTAGGAATGGGTGTTTGTTGGCGCCCCTTCCCAAGATTTTTCCCTTGAAGCTCTTCAGCTGTAAATAGTCCATTGTTTTTATTGAATACCAGATAATTTTTAAATGCTCTTGTGTATGAGACATACACTTTGCTGTATTATTCACTGCATTATAAATAGGGAGATGTATCAGATATGATCCTAAATTTGAATCCAGTGCAACAGCATACTAGCTTTCTGATCCTGGAGAGATGTTTTATTTTGTTTAAAACGTATAAAATGCCAGGCAACTATAAATGATAGGAAGATAAGAATGACACAAACAACCAAAGGAGAGATGCTGTAGGGTAATACAGGATCAGGAGAATTTAGAAGTTGGAAAGATAACATTCAGCTAGGGAATCAGAGGGAAGATCAATATGACAGATTTTTACAAAGGTAGTCAACATAGCAATATTTTCATTTGGCTATATGACAAAACATGAGCTAAGAGATGCAGAGACCAGGTAAGTGGAGGCCTACCTTTGAGATACATAGTCTGCCTAGATGTAAGGGACAGGGAGTGGGTAAAATTAAAGAAGATTACAAGTTTTAAATCTCAGTGACCGATAAGATGATAGTAAAATAAAGGACCATGTTGGGAGATGATAATATATTAAATAATTGCACATGTTGAGGATGCATTGGCCCCAGGACATATAAGTGATATCAGCCAAGCGTTTAAAAAACCATAGGTCTGGGGGCGCCTGGGTGGCGCAGTCGGTTAAGCGTCCGACTTCAGCCAGGTCACGATCTCGCAGTCCGTGAGTTCGAGCCCCGCGTTGGGCTCTGGGCTGATGGCTCAGAGCCTGGAGCCTGTTTCCGATTCTGTGTCTCCCTCTCTCTCTGCCCCTCGCCCATTCATGCTCTGTCTCTCTCTGTCCCAAAAATAAATAAACGTTGAAAAAAAAATTATTAAAAAAAAAAAAAAAAACATAGGTCTGAAGCTTATTTTGCATGCATGGGTTTGAAAATCAAACAAATGATGGTGAAGGCTTGAAACTGGCAAGCCTGCCAAAGGGGAGAGAGGACAGAGAAAATAAAAGAGGGTCAAAGAAGATTAAAATATCTTACAGATGGAAGGAAGTAAAAAGGATCAGAGAGCTCAAAAAGTCAAACCACAGTTACATGGAACCGAGGCACTAATACCATTTTACGAAAAATAATTGTCACAATCCTGTAATGCAGAGAAGTCACACAAGGTGAAGATTATACAAGGCCACTGGATTTGTCAACTAAGCTGTCATTAGTTACCTTTAAAGGAACAGATTCAGTGGATTTAGGGGAGTGAAAACCAGATCATGAGAGATTAAAGAGTGAATAGGTGATAAGAAAGCAGAGACAGCAATTTTAGACTGCTATTTTAAAATATATGATTATAGGGGTGCCTAGATGGCTCAGTGGGTTAAGCATCTGATTCTTAACTGGCTCAGTTCATGATCTCCCAGTTTGTGAGATCGATCCCTGCATTGGGATCTGTGCTGACAGCGAGGAACCTACTTGGGATTCTCTCTCCCTGTCTCTCTCTCCCTCCCTCACACGCATGCTTGTTTTCTCTCAAAATACATAAAGAAACTTAAAAAAAAACATGATTATAAAGGGAAAGAAAGAAAATAATTACCATAAGAATGAATTTCTATTAGAAATTCTTTGGTTAGAATCCAAATGAAGATTTTGGAAAAAAGTTTCTTAATTTTTTGAAGCTGGAAGTGAGTTTTTTTATAAGTTCTATTTTGTACAGATTATTAACCCTAATCACTGTATGAATAGGGTGGGGGTAGCATCTTAATCTGTTTAGGCTATAGGTTTATTTCCATAAACTGAAATATCCATTTCTAGTTGTCCTTGGATTTTTTTTCTCAAGATTAAACCTGTGAGTCAAGTATTAAAGAGATATAATTACTTAGCTTTTACATTTTCACTCACTTCAAGTGACTTTGGAGAGACCTTTACAGAGGGAAAGTCATAATTCATTTGAGTTCACTTGAGAATCTGATAATCTTGACTTGGAAGTTTTTCTTTAGGCCAGAAGTGACAGGTTGATTCAAGTGATGATGTTTGTAAAACCAAGAAAAGAATCTAGCAAGGCAAAGTCCAAAACTTTACTGTTGGAAGCTTTTTGCCCTAAATGGTAAAGAGGCAGAGTTCAGAGTGTTCTTTTGTAATATTTCCCAGGTTATTTAATTTCTCTGTGCTTTTATTTATTAATCTGTAAAGTGAGAATAATAATATTACTTATCTCATAGGATTATTTTTGAGTGTTAACTGAGTAAAATTGTCTAAAACACAGAACAGTGCCTGACACTCAAATTCTGAATAAATGTTCATATCATTCTGATTTATAAATTAAATATTCTTTGTCTCTTTTATTCTTTCTCTTAATATTTCTTACCTTCAAGGTTGAATGATAGTGAAATTGAACGGCAGCATTTTAAGGACCAAGATATGTATTCTGATAAATCTGATAAAGAAAATGATCAAGAACATGATGAGTCTGACAATGAGGTGATGGGGAAAAGTGAAGAAAGTGACACAGATACATCCGAAAGGCAAGATGACTCTTATATCGAACCAGAGCCCGTGGAGCCTTTAAAGGAGACTACCTACACTGAACAGAGCCATGAAGAACTAGGAGAGGTAAAAGTCTATGATTTTCAGGGGTATTGGTTTTCTGATCCTTGGAAATTTTCAGCTGAAATTGAAGACGTTTCTTTGACCTATTGCTTATTTTTCTGAAAGAGAACATTTAGATGATACCTATTTTATTTTAAAAATTGCATACACGTGAAATATCTCAGGATTTATAAATAACGTGTACTCACATGAGTACCAATAAATTCTATTAAATTTAAAGTTTACATTTTCTTCAGGTTTGTTTTTGAAATCGGATAGTACTAGTACTCCTTAATGTCATTGCCAGGTACAATGTGAATTGCAAGGACACATGAGTTTGTAATGTTCCTGGTATTGCTAATTCTTAGAAGTGATTATGGTATAAAATAATTGCATGTAATATTTTTTGTAATGAATTCTTTGTGTATATCCTTCACTTTGATGTCTCTTAACGACTACTCTTTTTACCTAAGTTTTATAGCTATAGACTTATTACCTAATGAGTTATTTCCCATTTTAAGAATGCTTGGGATAGTCTTACAGAGTATGCATATTTCAACATCAGCTGTTTTTTTACATATCTAATGTGTCTGAGATAAATATGATATTTGAGTATTTTTTTGTCAATTGCTAAAGGCAGGTGAGGCTTCTCAAACAGAAACTGTGTCTGAAGAAAACAAAAGCCTTATCTGGACACTGTTGAAACAAGTCCGTCCTGGCATGGACCTGTCCAGGGTGGTTCTGCCGACATTTATTTTGGAACCTCGTTCTTTCCTGGATAAACTTTCAGATTATTACTATCATGCAGATTTCATATCTGAGTAAGTAGATTCTCATTTCTTTTTTTTTTTTTTAATTTTTTTTTTCAACGTTTATTTATTTTTGGGACAGAGAGAGACAGAGCATGAACGGGGGAGGGGCAGAGAGAGAGGGAGACACAGAATCGGAAACAGGCTCCAGGCTCCGAGCCATCAGCCCAGAGCCTGACGCGGGGCTCGAACTCACAGACCGCAAGATCATGACCTGACTGAAGTCGGACGCTTAACCGACTGCGCCACCCAGGTGCCCCATTAGATTCTCATTTCTTAAAATGAAAGATGCTTCATGGTTTTAAGAGATTTTTTTTTCAGAGCGCAAATTACAGTGGTTATGCCTTACCAAAACTAGGCTCTAATGAGATGTCCCTCTCTCCACCAGTTCTACAGTTGACCTTAATAAGAAGAATACTTAATATTTTGCTCTAATGTTTCCATTTATGCAATTGAATTGAGAGATCACAAGTGTGAGGAAGACAAGGAGTCTGTCCCTTACCTGACAGACAGTACTGCTTTCACAGGCTCCCTGACCTGTTTCCTGACCTAACATGGGGAGAGGTGGTAGCGTTCCTTGTTCTCCCCCAGGTCACCTAAGCTCTTGTTCAGGTCCCATCCTGGGGCTTGTGCTTCTGTTTGTGCTTATCCTGTCTGCATGCTCATGAGGGATGTGCTGCTTTCCACAACCAGAATGCTCCGCCAGTTGCTGGCTCACGGTATAAATCCCCACTTTCATCTTTGCTTTGTTTCCTGCCAGCTGATCCTGGATGTAATTCTGGGGAAGGCAGGCGTAAAGGAGGTGGAGGAGAAGCTGCCGATCTCTTTCCCAGTGGTTTCTTGGGGAACCAGTAAAAGACATCAACTTTATGTATACCTTTCCAGGTTTCACATGTTGCCCCCATTCCAGCTGTTCAAGACACTGCGTGTTCTGAGATGCTAGGTTCTGGTCCTGTGGCCTGGCTTTTAGATTCTTTATCAATATCTGTATTAAATTTATTAGTTGCTTTATTAGGCTATTAGTTGCATTAGTGAATGTTGCAAAAGTCATAAGCTGAATCAAAAGATAATTGAAAAACTGGGAGATTTTTTGCAAGTTAAGGCATACCCAAATTGTTAATCTCCCTAAAATAAAAAGGGCTCTTAGAAATTTAATGAAAATGACCAGCAACCTAATAGAAAAAGGAGTAGAGGAAATGACCAGGTACTTCAAAGATGAATAGAAACAGTGCTTAAATGTGTAAATCTCACTCAAAATATGAAAAGTGCAGATTCAAACAAAAAGATAGTTTTTTATCAATCACAGTGACCAAAATCCAAAAGCTTTTATACCCCGGTTTTGCTTTATATATTATAGTTCTTTTATCTGTGTAGAAATTCATTTCTCTGAGTGTGAGGCAGGTTCCTATGAATGACAGTGAGATCTTCCTGAGAGATGCCCACTTTCCTAAGTTGAAAGGTTGCAGTTTTCTGGCTACACACCCTGTTGCCAAGGCTCTTTGGGGCAGCAGGCACTTGTATGCTGCTGCTGCTGCCACTGCTGCGTGACACAAACCAGCACAGTGCTTTTGAAAAGAACCTGGCAGTATTTACCAGAATTATAGATGCAGTCAGTCCTTTGATCCAGTAATTCTGCTTCTGGGAAAACCCCTACAAATATATCTCTACATATTCAAAATGACATATATACGAGATTGTTGTGGTAGGGCTTGTAATAGAAAAAGATTAGATAACTCAAGTATTGAGCCACAGTTGACTGGTGGGTTAATAACATACGGTGCATTTACATATAAGGAAGAAGTTTGTAACCTGATTTGGAGGGATCTCCAGGATTATGTGTATGTGAAAAAGGCAAGGTACAAAAAATACGTGGTTTGTTTCCTTTTTTATCTTTTTAAGAAAAGGAAGGCTGCGTATTTTTATTTGCTTCTTTATGCTTAAAGAAAACTGTTTATTAAAAAAAGCTAAAAAAAGAAAAAAGTTGCCTATATGGAGAGATGGGACAATAGCAAGACATGTATACTTCTCCATGTTGCTTTGCGTTCTGAACTATGCAAATACAAAATAGTAAGTAAAGTTGAATAGCAAGAGAATTTAAATCAAGATAGGAAGAGCACAGAAGGTTGCTACTCCCTTTAAGAGCAGGGTTTCAACTTGGCACAGTGGTCAGTAAACCTAAGCCTGGTCTCTTCCATTTCACACTTCATCTTCAAAAATCACACACTGAACCTTCAGACATGCTTGAAGGAAGTAATAAATAATTAAATTGTAATATACGTATGTATGAAGTTGTAATGTATATATTATATATATTATATATGCATACATATACATGTGAAAACTCAGAATTCACTTCTGACATCTACAATGTTTTGCAACATTTTGCAGTTTAGAGCAATAGCAAAAGGGTAAAGGGGTAGCTGAGTCATAGCTTCTAAAAATTTCTTTAAAATGAAAATTGTTCTTTGATTATCTGTTACAATGATCGAATTTATTTACTCTGGAAAATCATTTGGTAGCACTTAGGGTTGAAGGCTAAAAATAGCACTGATTGACTTAAATTATCTTAAAACTTCCGTATTTGTGATTTGAAACTTCTCTATTTTGTAATAGGAGCTCAAGGGACATATGGTCCTATTCCTAGGGGGGCATTTTGCATGGGAGAGGCTAATATCAACCTCTTGTCCTCCCTTCTTGTAGGGCAGCATTCACCAGTTACCCTTAATCTCCTCTAATTGAAATAAGTGACTGAGAATAGACTAAATCAAATGAATGTAATCCTTCTCTGACATATGGAACTGAACACCTCTCACAAAATTGTTGATGACGCTGCTTGGCCATTGCCCCATCATTGCAAATACTAGGCATCACACAGTTCTTGAATCTCAAAATACATTCATTTTTTTCAATCATAATTTCTCACAGAACCCCTGGCAATATCTAAGGCTCTCCAGAACCCCACTTGAAAAACCTTGGTTTGGAGAGTTTGTAAAAACTACTTGAACAAAGACCTGGGCAGTGTATCAAACAATGGTAAAAATGGGGAGAAAAATAACCAGATTATGAAAAGTTATTCTTACAGACTGATTTACATGGTTGTTTTTGCCATCTGTTTTAAATATGACTTATACTTGGGGCGCCTGGGTGGCTCAGGTCATGATCTCACAGTTGGTGAGTTCAAGCCCCGCGTCGGGCTCTGTGCTGACAGCTCCGAGCCTGGAGCCTGCTTTGGATTCTGTGTCTCCTTCTCTCTCTGCCCCTCCTCCACTTGTACTCTGTCTCCCTCTGTCTCTCAAAAATAAATAAATGTAAAAAAAAATTTTTTTTTTAAATATGACTTACACTTTCCAATCATATACTCAGTTGGTTTACTTGATAAATATGAGGGAGAATTTGTGAGATATTTTGTAAAAGTTTTGTTTATACCATTTGGTGTTTTTAGGGCTGCTCTTGAAGAAAATCCTTACTTCCGTTTGAAGAAAGTAGTGAAATGGTATTTGTCAGGATTCTATAAAAAGCCAAAGGTAATGTTTATATTTAACTTTCTTTAGCCTAATATGAGTTCTTTATTTTTTATGTTATCTTTATCTATTGAAAAGCATTTCAGGGCCTCTGAGTTAGAAAAATTGTAAAATACTTAATCATTTAGACCTATATTATGATTGAAGTTACTTCACTTTATTTCCTGTCTCTACTGTGAAATTTTATAAGGATAAGAGTTAAACCCATTTTGACTGGGAGGAGGTGAAATCTTCCAGATGTGTATTTTGAAACTTGTATGTTTTTTTCCTAGGGACTGAAGAAACCTTACAATCCTATACTTGGTGAGACTTTCCGTTGTTTATGGATTCATCCCAGAACAAACAGCAAAACATTTTATATTGCTGAACAGGTATTAGAAGTGCATGTTACAGAAACAAAACTGGTTCGGAAGTTACTGGGATATTTTAATAAAAAATATTAACTCAGTAAACTCACTGTTGATTATTAACCTTTCTTATTAGTGAACATTTGGTAAGCACTTAATCTTTTAGTACTGAATATGACTAAATACAATACTTATAGGTATTACTATTATAGTCATGGAATCCTGTGACCAAAAATAAATATGTTTCCTGAGCCATCCTCCCACACCGGTTTTGTTTTCTTTGTGACCAAAATTGTTCAGTGGTTTCCTATTTCCTAAATCAGATTTTACACCTGTCTGTCTGGCATTCAAGGTCTTCCTTATCTTTCTAAATTAATCTCAAATTTGATGCCTTTCTGAACCTTTGGCAGTAGTTAGACCTGTCTGTGCATTTACAACTAGGTAACCTGATATTGTACTTTTTGGCCTCATTATTTTTAAATTTAATTCTCCCATCCCAATATTTCTTCTTGGCTATTTTCCATCTAAATCAATCCTAACCTACTCCTCTTTCATGATCCAAGTGACTACACCTCCCACTGATTTCTCTCTTCTATATTCTTTTTTGTGATATCCATTAAGCTGTTATTTTAACACTTCCATTAACTTTTTACAGAATATTTATTTCCCTAATCAAATTGTCAGCTCCTCGAAGGAATGCCCTTCTTACAAATCTCTCTTTTTGTTGTATATATAGTAGGCAGTCAAAAATATTTCTTAATTTTGGGACTGCTGGCTGGCTCTGTCAGTGAAGCATGCAACTCTTGATCATAGGGTTGTGAGTTTGAGCCCCACGTTGAGGGTAGAGATAAAATATCTTTAAAAATTTTTTCTTGGTTTTAATCTTTCATTAATTTAGACATATATACATCTTACTCATGATTCTCAATCTTTCCCCTGTCCTCCCCTTTACTCCCTGGTCCTGAGGAATATGACATTATTTCTCAATAACAGTGACCCCTTACTATAATAATTCTCATGAGAAGTTCAAGAAGAATGAGGAGACTATGTTTCATTTGAAAAACCTTCCTCTTCCCTAGAAATTTTGATATACGTTTCGAATTGAAACCACTTATCTGTGTATTAATTTTTTAATTGATTATGCCACCTTGCATTTTAGTTCATTGTAAATCCTTGCTAAATTGAGAAGCTTGAGAAGAGTTTGATTTTAGCTTTGACTCATTTCAGAAAACATAATGTGTATACATTTTGAAAATATTAGATGACTGAAGTATCATTTGTTAAAACTTTTGTTTCCTACAGCCTATTAAGTAATCTATACAAAAATAGCCACTGTATTAGTTATCCATTGCTGTATAAATAAATGGCTTCCAAAATTTAATGGCTCAAAACAAACATTTATTAGCTCCTGCAGTGTGGTTTAGCAATCTGAGAGCTGCTTAGCTGGGTGGTTCCGGCTCAGGGTCTCTCATGAGTGTGCAGTCAAGATGTCAGCCAGCTTTGCAGTCATCTAAAGACTTAACTGGGCTGAAAGATATCACTTCCAAGCTCATCACATGGCCTTTGACAAGAGCACTCAGTTCCCCTCCACATGGGCTTCTCCGTAGAGTTGTTCACAACAGGGAAGCTGGCTGCTCAGAGCTAATGATCTGAGAGGGAGAGAGAGAGACCAAAACGGATGGTGCATTATAGCTTAATTTCAGAAGTGACATACTATCACATTTATACAAACTTGGTTTGGTACACTGTAAGAGGAGCCTATCTAATGTGTGAATACCAGAAGGTGGTTTCCTTGGGAGATATCTTGGAGGCTGATTACTATAATCAATGTTTAATTTTACCACTTACCAAACATTTCTTCTTACTAATTATTAGAGTATACGGTTAAGACTTGAACTTTGACAGTAGTAAAATAATATGCTTATGTTACTGTATTTCATGTTTTTTTCTGTGTTCAATAGGTATCCCATCATCCACCAATATCTGCCTTTTATGTTAGTAACCGAAAGGATGGATTTTGCCTTAGTGGTAGTATCCTGGCTAAGTCCAAGTTCTATGGTGAGTTTCCCCTTGTCTCAGTCTGCCCCCTTTTTCTGGAAGGTAGTATTTCCTGGTGAGCTTTTCTATGGACAATGTCTTGGGTTGTTTTCAGAAAGGAATTTATATGTCATTTTAAGTATCATCTTTACTTGGATAATGGCCTTTCCTTTGTAGTGTTTTTCTTTGCCCATTCAGAAGTATGATTCATAAATAGGACTCATTTTGTATAAGTATTCATCACATACGTATAAATTCATCACAAGCACCATTTATCAAAAGATGGAATGACCACTCTTAGCCATTTTAGTACATAATGTATTTTTTTGCTTTTAGTCCCACTGAAGATTTTTGTTCTATCTCATTGTATCTGAGGGGTTGATCATTCTATTTAGTCTTTGAATAAAGAGGGAAAGAATACAAGTACGGTTAGAATACTTGGTCCAGGGTCAGTCAGTAATGATCATTAATCTTGGGCCGAACAACATACTAATAAAAACTTTCATTAGTATAAGGGAAAATAGTGAAATATGGTTATTATAGGAAACCTTAATCTAAAAACTATGACAATTCAAATAAGCAAATGGCTAAAGCTATATACTAGTAGAACGTATTTAACCTTAATTGCTTTTGTTTTTTAAAATTAATTTTTAAGTGGAGAAAAATCAATGAATTAAATGAAGAATTTTAAATCTGAGAGAAAAAAATAATTATTGTAAGATTGGGAAAATGTCAGCAGAAACCAAAGGTCTGGTTACCTGATAGAGTGGAGAACCATAGATGGGTCTATAACAGGGAAATCTAACAATAGTTTTTGATAAAAGAATATGGTATATGCCTTTATATTTCTTTAAGGTATCCTTTATGTGTTTTGATGTTTGGGGTCTTGATTTTGGTTTTTTGCCTAGTTTTACATTTTGCTTGTTTTAGAAGATGATTTTTTTCTTCTATATTTAGGTTCTCTCCCTGCTTACCTCCCGTCCCTCCATGCCCCTCCTCTGATTATAACATAAATGACTTTTATGAGCATGTGTTCTGTACCTGAGAAATTTTTATGAGTACCAAGTGCATCGCTCACTTTCTGGGATTACTTCAGCAATTAGCCTTGTTTTTTTTCTGTTACATTATGATTTGTGTATATCAGAGCTATCTGTTACTTTATATTTTGAAAGAATTTACAAAATTCAGGCCTTGTAGGGGCACTTTTTTGATAACTTCCTCCTTCCATTTGGTTTTTGAATTGTTTGTATAGAAACTGCTAGGTGCGTTGATAGTTTATATTGGTCTAGGAATTCATTTTTTTTTTAGTCTAAATGAAGCTAAACTTAAAGACATCTGGATAGAGTGTATTCCTCTTAACATGTAGTTTGTTTCTTTCTTGACGTTTTGTAGTTAATGAAAAATTTAAAAGGTGTGTTATTGGGGCGCCTGGGTGGCGCAGTCGGTTAAGCGTCCGACTTCAGCCAGGTCACGATCTCGCGGTCCGGGAGTTCGAGCCCCGCGTCAGGCTCTGGGCTGATGGCTCAGAGCCTGGAGCCTGTTTCCGATTCTGTGTCTCCCTCTCTCTCTGCCCCTCCCCCGTTCATGCTCCGTCTCTCTCTGTCCCAAAAATAAATAAACGTTGAAAAAAAAAAAATAAAAAAAAAAAAAGTGTGTTATGCAAGCATTAAGTACAGTTGAGTGGCTATATGAATACATTTTAAGACAAAGTATTAACAGAGTAAGAACATTTCATGAAGATAAAAGGTTTAATACATCACCATAATAATAAATGTATGCCTAACCACAGAACTTCAAAATACATGAAGCAAAAATAGAATTAAGGGGAGAAATAGGCAATTCTAGAACCATGGTTGTACACTAACACTCTCTCCTCAGCAAATGATGAGACAACTAGATAAAATATAAGCAAAGACATGTAAGACCTGAAGAACACTATCAACCACCTTACCCTAATTGATATTTCTAAAATATTACAACAGACAATGACAGAATACACATTAGTTTTAAGTATATATATGGTATTTTCACTGGTAGTGATGATATTTGATGACAAAATAACTCTCCATAAATTTTAAAAGAATTCATACAGAGTATGTTTTGCAACCTCAAGGAAATAGAATTAATTTTTTTTTAATGTTTATTTTTGAGAGAGATGGAGACAGAATGCGAGTGGGTTAGGGGCAGAGAGAAAGGGAGACACAGAATCCGAAGCAGGCTCCATCCAGGTTCCAAGCTGTCAGCACAGAGCCCGACATGGGGCTCTTAACTTACGAGCTGTGAGATCATGACCTGAGCCAAAGTCGGACGCCACCCAGGCGCCCCTCAAGGAAATAGAATTAGAAACGAATAATAAGATACCAAGTTAAACTCCAAATATTTAGTAATTCAACAACACACTTCTACAATCCATGGACCAAAAAAGAAATCGCAAGAGAAATTAGAAAATATTTTAAGCTAAATGATAATAAAACTGCAACATAGCAAAATTGGTGAGATGCGGCAAAAGTGGTGTTGAGAGGGGAATTTATAACTTTAAGTTAGAAAAGAAGAAAGATCTAAATTAGTGATCTACCCTATGAAATTAGAAAAAGAGCTAATTAAGTTCAAACTAAGTAGAAGAAAGGAAATAATGAAGAGCAGACGTCAGTGTAGAATGTAGACAAACAGTACAGAAAATCAGAAATTATAAGAGTTGATTGTAGACTGATCAAAAAAAAAGGTACAAATCAGGAATAAATGAGCAGAATCACTACTGATCCTACAGATACTGAAAGAATGATAAGGAAACATTATGAACAATAATGTTCCTTAGAACAGCTTAGATGAATTGGGCAAATCCCTTGAAAAATAAAAATTACCAAACTGACCCAAGAAAGGCATAAAATTTTAATAGTCTTAAATCAGGGAAAGAAATTGAATTAGTAATTTGAAGTCTTCCTTCAAAGATATATTCCAGTTCCAGATGTTTTCAGTTCTTCCAAACATTTAAAGAAGAAATTATACCACGGCACCTGGGTGGCTCAGTCAGTTGAACGTCCGAATTCGGCTCAGATCATGATCTCACGGCTCATGAATTTGAGCCCCACGTCGGGCTCTGTGCTGCCAGCTCTGAGTCTGGAGCCTGCTTCGGATTCTGTGTCTCCATCTTTCTCTGCCCCTTGCCTGCTCATGCTCTTTGTCTCTCTCTGTCTCAAAAATAAACATTATGGGGCACCTAGGTGGCTCAGTCAGTTAAGCGTCAGACTTCGGCTCAGGTCATGATCTCATGGTTCATGGGTTCGAGCCCCGCATCAGACTCTGTGCTGACAGCTTGAAGCCTGGAGCCTGCTTCAGATTCTGTGTCTCCTTCTCTCTCTTCCCCTTCCCACTGGCACCCTGTCTCAAAAATATATAAACGTTAAAAAAAGTTTTGGAAGAAAAAAATTAAAAAGTAATCATTAAAAAAAATTTAATATATATAATACCAAAATATATACCAAAGAAATAATACCAAAAACAAAAAAAACCCAATCTATACAACTTTTTATAGAAAATAAGAGGAAATGTTTCTCAGCTCATTTTATGAGGCCTACATACCCTAATCCCAAAACCAGATATTATAGGAAAAGTACATATTATTATCTCTCATGAATATATAGTACATGCAAAAATCCTTACCAAATTAGTAACAAATCAGTATTTATGAAGAGTAGTATACATAAAGGATATATTAAAATGATACATATCATGATCAGTTTATCAAGTGGGATTTGTCTTAAAGGCACAGGTTGGTATATCATTGAAAATTGGTGTAGTTCATGTTAATAGAATAAAAGAAAACCATATTTTAATAAATGCAGAAAAAGCATTCGACAAATTTCAACACCCACTCATAATAAAATCTCTTAACAAACTAGGACTAGATTAAAGGTATCTGTGAAAAATAATAGCCAGCTTCATACTCTTAAGGTGAAAATTAAATAATTTTTACTTAAGATCAGGAACAAGGCAAAGATGTTGACTGTCACTACTTCTTTATAAAATTGTTACTAGAGGTTGTAGCCAATGCAGTAGGCAAGTTAAAGAAAAAGCATACAGATTAGAAAGGAGGAAGTTAAAAACCATATGCATACCTAATCTATATAGAAAATTCTCAAGAGTATACCAAACACTACTAGAACTAAAAAATGAGTTTAGTAAGGTTGCTGGATACAAGGCCAAAATAAAAAGTCAGTTGTATTTCTGTATACTCAAAATGAACACTTGCAGAATGAAATTTAAAAAACAACTCATTAATTATAATAGTATGTGAAAATAAAATATTTAGGAATAAAATAATAGATGTATAAGACTTGTACACTGAAAAACTAAAAAAGCATTGGTGAGGAAATTAAAGAGAATTTAAATAAATGTTGTTAAAATGGTATGAAATGTTGGTACAACAGCATGGATGAATCTGGGAAACATTTTGCTAAGTAAAAGAAGTCAGACACTGTAAACTATTTTATGATTCCATCTATACAAATTCTAGAATAGGTAAAACTACAGTGATGAAAAACAGACCAGTGTTTTCCTGAGGCTGGAGGAAGGGGGAACTCTATGGGGCTGATGCAAAGTTCCATATCTTGATTGTGATGGTGATGGTTATGTGACTGTATACAGTTGTCAAGAATATCAAAATACACACTTAAAGTGGGTCACTTATTGTATGTAAACTGTACCTCAATAAAACTGATGATAGGGGAAAAGAAAAATACACTTGGGAGAAAAGCTAGAAGAAAATACCATGAAATTCTATCATCAATTGCATTTTGATGGTTTGTGCTTATGTTTTCTTTTTCTAAATTATCTATGGTAGTATTGTGTCCGTTTTAGTACTTAAAGCTTGGGACTTAACTATGTAACTTGCAGATAAATAATAATGTTTTTATTCAAACTTTAGATACATTAAGCCATACCATAAAGCAATGTTTTATTGCACGTCCCACACTTCTAAGATTTTTAAGAGCCTCATATAAAATAACATAATAAGCACATAACTGTACCTTTTTAACGTGCTCATTTTATAAGACCAGGAATATGGGTCATGTATGTTTTGGATATAAGATAACAAATATATATTTGGACACATTGAGATTGAGACGTTTTTAAGACATTCCACTGTAGATCTATGAAGGGTGTCCTGAATATATTTTATTTTGAATTGGTTGCATTGGTTTTGTTAAATTTAATAAATAATATTTAATTTAGGAAATTCATTATCCGCAATATTAGAAGGAGAAGCACGATTAACTTTCTTGAATAGAGGCGAAGATTATGTCATGACAATGCCGTATGCTCATTGTAAAGGTAAGTATTTCCCATACTTGAGTTAGATATTCCTTAAACCTGTTTAAGTAAATGTATATGGCTGTAATCTGTAATGGTTGTGTTTTCTGATTGATGGAGTCAGCCTTTCATTTGAAAGTGTCCTTGGTTTATAGGTACTGAAGATTATTGCTATCATCTGCTGAATATTTCTGTGGTGAATTAATTCACTACATCAGACTTTTTATAAAACATACCTAGTTGGAAGAGGCTGATTTATAATAATCGAATTTCATTTGCCTAATGTGCAGGTTTTAAAATTGATGAAACTGCCCATTATTTCAAAATCTTCAAAAGTGATTTTCATTTTCTTGTACTACCACCCCCTATTAAAATTTTAATTTCCTGCTTCTCATTGTACTAAATACTTTAAAAATGTTTCTTATTCTCATTTGGCAATTTCTTAAAAACTAATGTATTATACTTCCCCCCATTATTAAAGATAGTTAAAATTAAAATAAAGATACTAAACTATCATTTACAACAGGCCAGGTACCCAGCCATTCTGTGCATTTACATTTATCAACTCATTTAATCATTCCAGCAGCCCTATAAAGTAGATAATATTGTCTCTGTTTTATGGATGTGGAAAATGAGGCACACAGAAGTTAATTTGCCAGAGATCACATAGCTAGGATGTTGCAGAGTCAAGATCTCTGTGACCTGTACTACTATACTGTAGGGCATCAGCTTGGTCATTATCTGTATACTCCTTTCCAGCCCATTTTTTAAAAATAACTTTTTTGGGTACTTATCCTCTTTTAGGGACTGATTCTTGTAAACATGGAAATTATTTAATGTGGCCTCATTTCACAGAAACAAAAACCGAGAGTTTTAAGAATCTTACCTAAGGCCAAATGAGCTACTTAGTAAGAACGTTGAGACTAAACTCTAGGCTTGTTGACTCCTATCCACTGTAACATGGACCTACTTTGTGTGAAGTACAGGAGTGGCCACCTTGTGGCCTCAGGCTGGATAACTCTTAGAGCTTCATGTGTGGTTCTTAAAATAGACATGAAGTGAAATATCTGAAATTATGAACGGAATTGATAAGAAATATATTTTTAAATTTTATATCATTTAGAATAAACAAAATAGTATTTTATATAGATACCCAATGCCGGTGGCTTTTTTTTTTTTTTTTTGGCATGAAAAAGGAGACTATAATAACCCCTTTGTGAATGAGCATAGGAAATAATGATTGCTTTCTACCCTTGTGTATTTTCTAAGATGTGTTCCCCAAATCATTAATCTCACAAATTGCTTTACAAAAGGAGTTCCACAGCCAAATAAGTATGAGAAACATTGCATAGTCTGGTCCCTTCTTGGAAATTAACATTGTACATTTGCATATTAAAGGCAGCTTTAACAGTTTCATCAAGAACACACACAATTTAACAAAGTTAAATGAATTTTCTCAACTTTTCACCACAGAACCTATTTTTGAGGGAATTTTTTTATATGTTTGTCTTATTTATACAGTTGATTCTTGTTATTTGTAATAGCTATGTTCCATAAAGTTACCACAAACACTGTTTTAAAGAATACTAAACTATTGATCCTAGGCGGAACACAAGGTTAGGTTCCTGTGAGCCTCTTGACACATTTTCATCAATCAATCAATCCATAACCTTGTTTCTATTCAAAGACGCCTTATTATATATTATTGATTCATTAACATTGAACTGACAGCCAACAGCACTATAACTCATGCCTGAGTCAAGCTTTAACAAGATACATTATAGCCTTCTGTATTTAGAAATGCTGTACAGTACATTAGCACTGCATTTGGGGGTCATTTTTAAACAACAGAATCCCCAACAAAACACCAAAATGTGAAAAATGTGGCACTTAAATATACTGCAAAAAAGGCACTTATTTACCAAATGAGAGATGAAACCAGAAGGCAGTGTTACCTTGTTCAACCTCAGCTGGCAGTTTGCACATTGGACAACTCAAATTTTTCACCACTCTGTGCATGTCCATGAATGATTACAAAAGTGCTGTATTTATTTGGGGATTGCTAATATATTTTCGTAAGAATGTGAATTCTGAAATAGTTCCATCTACAAATGGAATGGAATCTGTAAATAATTGTATCCTGTATTTAAGTCCTACAGAAACAACTTTATGTGTATGCTACTGATTGTTATTGGGTGGGACAGAATGCTCTTGAATTATTGGTTTTTCCTAGAAGGAGATTAGATTATAAAGTTCTGCTGGTTACTAAGCCAGTATTGCTCTCTCTCCAACCTTTTGTCGAAATTTTTTTTTTTCTTTAGGAATTCTTTATGGCACAATGACACTGGAGCTTGGTGGAATAGTCAATATTACGTGTCAAAAAACTGGATACAGTGCAATACTTGAATTCAAACTGAAGGTTAGTAGGGATAAAAGGTATCACCCAATTAAAGAAGATCTGTGCTATAAATATTGAACAAAGAGCACAGTTTAGTTCCTTATTAAAAAATAAATATAAGAACACAGAATTCATCAAAAGACAGCCTTGGCAGATCCAGATCCACACAAAACCATCATTTTTTTTTGTTTTAATTTTAATTAATAAAACTGTTGGTATAGTATAACAAATGAGATATATGGAGTAAATTGATAGAAATTTCTCAGTAAATTAAAACATTACAAAATACCACAAAGCATGTATCAGCTTGAGCTATAGTTGTGTACACTAAGAATTGTATGCCTAACAATTTACTCCAAAACTCACAGCCTTAAAAACAACCTTGTTCTGATCCATAGGGGTTCTATAATTTGGACAGAGAATATTGCGGATGGCTTATCTCTGCCACATCATGTTTGGGGCCTTAGTTGGGAAGCCTTGCAGGTTGTGAGTGACTCAGCAACTGGGGCCAATAATCTGAAGGCTCAGTCACTTCCATGTCTGGTGCCTGGACTGGGAAGACTAAAAGACTGGAACTACTGATCTGAGCACCTAGTATATGTGGCCTTTCCATTTGGCTTGGCTTCCTTACAGCATAGTGGCTTCAAGGTAGTCAGACTTCTTACTTGGTGGCTCAGGGTTCCAAGTGCAAGTGTTGTTGTGACCAGGGTGGAAGCTGTATTGCTATCCATGACCTGGTCTCAGAAGTCAAATTACATCACTTCCACCATTTTCTATTAGTTGAAGAGTTACAAGCTCACTCAGATTCAAGGGGAAGGGGCACCTGGGTGGCTCAGTTGGTTAAGCATCCAACTTCGGCTCAGGTCATGATCTCACGCTTCATGAGTTTGAGCCCCATGTCAGGCTCTGCCCTGACAGTACAGGGCCTGATTGGGATTCTCTGTCCCTGACCCTCCCCCACTTGCACTTTCTCTCTCAAAATAAATAAATAAATAAATAAATAAATAAATAAACTTCAAGGGGAAGAGATATGGACCCCACTTCTCAGTGGGAAGATGGCCATCTTTGGAAAATTCTCTCTGCCTCTGAGTGAAAGGGAAATTTAAGACCTTTTCACCATGGCTGCTATTGGTATAGGACAATATATTCAAAGAATATTTCTATGAACTGTTTAATATTTGTTAAATTTCTCATATGTTGCTATCTAGCCGATCAGCAACTTTGTTCTAATAAAAAGTATCTCTTTTAAGTATTATTTGGTGCAGTGCCCTTTGTTGTGTTTTTTTTTTTTAATCTTAGCAAATTTTTTTTTTGTATGGTGATAGTGTTATTTGAAAATCATGACTAAAGATGTTTTAAGTAATTTATGATACTTTTAAGGGTTAGATTGGAACATCAAAATTTTGTCACAGATGAGCGACATTAGTAAGGCAATATAGTAACTCAAAGTGTTTTCCTTATAACTTAATTTTGGAGGATTTTTGGTTAAGTATTGTTTTACTGTTTAGTTTTGAAGGCAGGGGTATTATTACTTCTAACAGATGAGTTAAGTCCCTTAAGTCTACTGAATTGTTATTGCTTAAACATACCGTAGCATTGACAGCTCAGTTGAGTCAGGAGAGAGCAGAGAGCATGAGTTATCATTTGTGATCTTTCTCAACATGTTTATTTGGACTTCACACAGTCTGTTTATTTTTACCTATTTTTTCCACAGCAACAAATTCTGATTTCATTGAACGTTTCTGACTAAAATTTGAGTCAGCATTTCACCCTTCATGCTTTAGTAGCACTGTAACTATATACTTACTTCTTTCGTTTGTTTTTGTCTACATTATATGTAAATATAAGATAAAAGTAAACTCTTTCTGTAACATTTTCTCTTTTAAAAGCCATTTCTAGGTAGTAGTGACTGTGTTAATCAAATATCAGGGAAACTTAAATTGGGAAAAGAAGTCCTAGCTACTTTGGAAGGCCATTGGGTAAGTATTTTTCTATTTTAGCTTTAACAAAAAGAATTTTATTCTGTGAAAAAAATTAAAAATCACATTTTAAAAGTTCACTTATTCCATTGCTAAAAACATCACTATTCACTATAAGCTTCAGCTTTTAACAAATATTTTGGCATTGATCTGTTATCAACAATATTTAGTGTCTTGTAATAATACTTTACCTTTCCAAAAGTTTAATTCAATAAAAATAGCTAACACTTATCATTTAGAATATACTGCATTGTTTAAAAATGTTACTCGTGGGGCGCCTGGGTGGCGCAGTCGGTTGAGCGTCCGACTTCAGCCAGGTCACGATCTCGCGGTCCGGGAGTTCGAGCCCCGCGTCAGGCTCTGGGCTGATGGCTCAGAGCCTGGAGCCTGTTTCCGATTCTGTGTCTCCCTCTCTCTCTGCCCCTCCCCCGTTCACGCTCTGTCTCTCTCTGTCCCAAAAATAAATAAACGTTGGAAAAAAAAATTTAATAAAAATGTTACTCGTATTGACTCATTTGATACTGAATAACTGTATGAAGTGGGTAATACTGTTTCCGTATTACAGAGGAAGACACTGAGGCACAGAGTTTAAACAGTTTGCTCAAAGTGATGGAGCAAGAGTTCCAGCCTGTGCACTCTGGCTCCAGGGCTGGCTGCTTCTCGGAGCAGTGTCCTGCCCCTCACCTAGAAGAAAGAGGCATTTCCAGTTAGAGTTACAGTTCCTTTTCAGGGACATGGAAAGGGTATAGTGGTATTTGGAAGCAACAGCTTTTATTTATTTCTCTGCTGACCTAAATTCGCACTTACCTAATTTTGTTAAGAGGAGCTTAAATGAAAAACGGTATATCATGGTACTGCCTAGATGCACTGTGAACACTGTGAACACTGTGTACACTGTCACTGTGAACACTGAGTGTATGCTGTTTTCTGCATTATAATCAGAAAATGATGAGAAATGTGATGAGAAAGTGAAGCTGGATCTGGAGATTCAACCAAGAGGCCACATATGCTCTGTAGCATATGCTCTGTAATTTTAAAATTTTACTTCTATCTAAAAATCATTTGGAAAAAAAGATAGAACGATCTTTTTTTTAAAAATGAAATTTCTAACATTGTACTCAAATTTTTAATGCTAAGAAAGGTTCTTTGAGGTTTGTGTTGAGTACGTAGATAGCAGCATCTCATTGTAGCTGTTAGCAAATACTGTGCTCCTCTGTGACAATTCAGAAATCGTTGTTGAGGTTTTGCAAGTAATTGTTGGAAATTTGTTTATTAAGTAAAACTTGTGAAATCTCCTGAACTTTTTTGTGTGTTCAACCAAAAGTTTTAAATGACTACAAGTACTTATTTAATGGTTTTATGAAATGACAAGACATTTGGAGCTTTTAGAAAAGTGCTAGTTGTATTTGTTTTAGAAATGTGTTTAACTGTGGGATTAAATACAGGAAAAAATTTTTATATTACTATACTAAATAATCCTAATTTAAATAATGATAGTTCTTTAATTTTTAATTTCTTTAAATACAGGACAGTGAAGTTTTTATTAATGACAAAAAGACTGATAATTCAGAGGTCTTCTGGAATCCAACACCAGACATTAAGCAGTGGAGATTAATAAGGCACACTGTAAAATTTGAAGAGCAGGGAGATTTTGAATCAGAGAAGTAAGTATACCATTTTTCAGCCAACTTCATGAGCATCGAAGAGTATTTTTTAACCCCTCAATAGTTGGCCACTTTTCTCTGTCACTTTTCAGTCACATTTTAATTCAGCAAAAATAGTTTAACATTTGTGCGATGTGACAGGATTTTTTTTTTTTTGTATATGTGAATGTCAAATAAATATTCAAATCATACTAGTTAAAAAATCGTACTGGTTTTCTGCAGCTCTAAACTAAAACTTCCCATTTTTTCCTTTCTCTTATCTGCTCCAGGGCCTATTTTTTTTTTTTTTAATTTTTTTTTCAACGTTTATTTATTTTTGGGACAGAGAGAGACAGAGCATGAACGGGGGAGGGGCAGAGAGAGAGGGAGACACAGAATCGGAAACAGGCTCCAGGCTCCGAGCCATCAGCCCAGAGCCCGA